TATCACATGCGCATACATACAGATATTTGCATATAGAAAGAGAGCGAGAGAGATAGAAGACACAGCATTTGGGAAGAACAAGAAGAGGTATATGTATAATTTGATATGCAGATAAATATATATACGTATATAAATATATAAACTATAATATTCTAACTTTAGTTCGCCCTTAAGTAGGCTGTGCTCGGCCCGTTGGTAATAGATGTCAGATTATTTCAGTATGCCAGTTGACATAGTGAGCCAGATATACATACGTAGGAACTTCCGCATAAACTAGATCTCAAATCCATTCAAAATGCCGGCCGTCAATCGAACGCGAAGAAGGCCAATCAGTAACACGCCATCCGAATTGGGGAGTGCCTTTTGGGCCACGCCCAGTTAGCTATAATAACTCCATTGGCTTATAATAATTAAAAATTTTGATTGAATCCCATTGCCCACAGGTCTATGCGGTCTGAGAAATATTGGAAACACTTGCTTCATGAACTCGGTCATCCAATGCCTGAGTCACACGACTGAGCTGACGCGCTTCTTGCGCGCCCATCACACCAACACGCGCACGGCAACCTCCAAGGATCAGCAAATACTATACGGCAAGTGTTCCATTCAAATATAAAATTTTTATGTTATATACTTACATATATATATATATCTGTTGCCTTACAGAATTTGCCAAACTCATACAGGAAATGTGGACGTCAAATGTGCATAGTGTAACGCCGATGGAACTGAAGCGTGCCTTTTCGACAAAGCATCGCATGTATAGCGATTACAATCAGCAGGATGCGCAGGAGTTTCTGCGCTTCTTTCTTGACTCGCTGCACTCGGCACTGAACACCGGTGTCAAAGGTGAAACGCTTAACATTGACGATAATCTCAGGTGAGTGCTCACTTACACAACAAACACCAGCGACGAGCAACTAATCTATGTTGATCGTATTCAATTGCAGTGACAATAAGAAGGCCGATCTGACTTGGGAGTGGTATGCTAGGCATGAGAATTCCCTGATACGAGATTTGTTTGTTGGTCAATTGAAGAGCACACTGAAGTGCACAACGTGTGGCAATACGAGCGTTACCTTTGACCCATTCTGGGATCTGAGTGTGCCACTACCATCGTCATCGCGCTGCAAATTAGAGGCCTGCTTAGATTTGTTCATTAGAGAAGAGGTGCTAGATGGCGACGAGATGCCCACGTGCTCCAAATGCAAGACACGCCGAAAATGTACCAAAAGCTTTACCATACAGCGTTTCCCCAAATACCTGGTGATACGTAAGTGCAACCGACCAACATGACTATATATAGCAATATATAGTATATATTTAGACATATGATTTACGTTTGTTTTGCTTTTGCTGCTTCTTGCAGATCTAAAACGTTTCTCAGAAACACGCTGGAGCAAGCTCTCGAATATTGTTGAGTTCCCTACGGCGGATCGGGAGCTGAATATGGCCTCATATGGGGCAAACGCAAATTCGAATGTGCATTATTCGCTCTATGCGATCTCCAATCATATGGGTATGTTCCAATCCATTGCAAAGATTGCAGCAAGTGCTAATCATACTTATTGCTTAAACAGGCTCAACGGCTGGCGGTCACTACGTGGCCATCTGTAAGCATCCAGTCTCACGCAAGTGGCATGAGTTCAATGATAATAGGTACGTACATGCTCATGCGATAGCTTCTGAATTATGATGTTAGTATTGATCGATTAACTGTTCATATTTATCGTATCCATTGTAGCGTTAGCGATGCTATCCCCGAGAACTGTCTCGTTTCATCCAGTGCCTATATCTTATTCTACGAACGAGCGTAAAGCTAACTCTAACTAACTACTCCTCCACAACATCCTGGCAGTTGAATTCAGAAAGTATGTTGCGACAGCTACAATACCAACAGCAATAACAACACCATCAACTGCTATAAAGAAAATAGGAAAAAAAAGAGTAAAACAACAAAACGACTAAAAAGAAAAAGAGAAAAGAGAAAAGAATGTGCAATAAGAACAGCAAGTCAAACCCCTAGTAAATGTTTCGTAGAATTTTGCAAATTGTGCAAACGTGCGTAAATTTAAATTTAAATTTAACTATAAACTAATTCTTAACTCAAGTCCAATTCCAAATAACAACAATGTCGGAATTGGATGGCAAAGCATGTATATGGCGATCATTGGAGGCGAATGATGTAAATAAGAGATGGATAACACCCAAAACAGACACCAAATAACAACGTAAAACACATCAAGAAGAAACATAAAATGAAATAATGAACGAACAAAATACAAGAATCAGACAATTTATGTAACACAGCTTTCGGCAAGCCAGAAAAACAAAACAGCAGCAATCGGTCAACAATAGAAAAAAAGCAAAAGCTCTTAACTAAGTATAAACAAATACCTTAAAGCAAATGCAGATGCAGCAGCTAAACAGAATGAAAAGAAAACTTAGGGAAGAACTAATGCAAAGCAACACAGAAACACTAGAACAGAAACAAAATTGTTATTTCTTCAAAATTTTGTCTTGCATTTCTCTGGCATATATATTTATTTAGTTTTCTTAGCGTCTTTATCGGAAATTTTGATCTATCCTCCCAGTCATTGAATATATATA